TCATCTGAATGAACATGAACAGTAAATGAGAAGAGGAACAGGGATGCCAAAAGACACAAATCCAGCCTCTGAAAAGTCCTTGGCAGTCAACTGCAGCGCATGGCAGTGTTGGATTAAGCATGTCAACTGGGAGGTTGAGATGAAATTAATGACAGTATTGACATCATCAGATCTTGTCTGACAAATTCATGAAAGCCTATCAAAACTGCACACTGTTGTCATGCTTTAATGCTACTTAAAGCTTAAAGGCACTCTGCCCAAGGACAGGACTCAATTGCAGTAGGAGTGAACAAAGAGTCTCACCCTGAAGCTAGCTGTTTTAAACAGAATACCTTACATTTGTTCCACTCTGCTCAGTGCTAATGGCATCCTGTCCAGTTGAGGTGTCCCAATGGGCATCACATTAAATCCCCCTTCCACCCACTGCAAGTTGCCTGTATTGCCCAGGGGAGTAAGTTGCTGATGAGTGCATAACAGAAGTTTTGGGAGTACCATGGCTTCCATTCTCCTTGATCGCAGTTAGATAATGATGAAGAGACCTTAAAAACCATGACACTGAGTGCACTGAGCTCCCAGAGGCCATGCTGCTGCTTCTCCTGATGCCCAGGGACCAAGCAGGGCCCATCCTGGTGGTCCTTTCTGAAAATAGAGAGAATGAAGCCAAGGAACACCTGGTCTGTGGGCCAGGAGCTGCCTGCTCTCGTGTACTTGTCTGACATGCCCAGAAAGCATCACTAGGCCCTGATGTTCAGTACAAGGCCAGTAGACCATCAATGGTCCAGAAGACACCAGAAAATGATCTGCAAGATCCATAAAACTAAACACAGAATATTACCTGAGCCCTAATCTGTCCAAAGCACTATTAAGTATTTCCCAAATGTATTACTTTAGTTATCTTATCCTGGAATATCCAGGTCAACAAGATCAGTTATTATTCCACGTTCAGATCTCATTCCACTAAAAAGCCCACATTCTTTCCTGCAGGATTGTTAACCGGCAGATTTTGCTTGAGATTATTTTGCACCTAAATGTCCTACATTTCACTGTTCTTATGTCAAACCACAGCTTGAATGTAGCATGATCATTTGGAAACCCATTTTCTTAAATCCTTGAGTTTCATTTCATTCTTATCAGTGAAAAAAATTAGATTAGCTGGGTATGATTTGTTTTGGTTACATTCATGTCAGATGTTTCTATCACGTTTTCATTCTGCAGTTACGAAGTACTTGATGTTTTTCACAGTATTTTTCAGGCATTTGAAAAAGCTGAGACAGGTTGGCTGATCTGTAATACTTGGTAGCTCATAACTCTTCTGTAATCCTAAATGTAATTCTTAGCATTACAAAAATAACTGTGGTTGGTTCTTTAATTATACCAAAGGAACTGTCATCAGGGCTTCCTGAATCATGTGCACTTTATTCAGATGTTCTTTCATATTTTTTTTTCCAAGGCCAGTGTTTGCATTCCCTTGCTAGTTCTAAGTGTGCTTGGTCTCTTGTATCAGGTAAGCTCTATCTGCAAAGGTGCTTCACACTTCAGCCTCCTCTGCCACCTGTCCTTTGTTAACCATTCCCATGAAGTGATCATCCTTTTCCTTCTTTTCCTTTTACTTATTTTCTCTTCTCTTTTATATTTTTTAAACTTAAGCCTGTCCCTTCTACTAATCCTAGAGCAGTGCTTTTTTTTTCCATTTTGATCAAGTAACCAAACAAGTCCTAATATGGGCCCTTTGGTTTCATCCAGTGCCACCCTTGCCATCAGGACAGCTTGCTGCAGGGCCATCTGTATAGGGACTTTTTCCAAATGACTGTTCCCTGAAGCTTCTTTCCCCTTTCTGCTCCTCTGCGCAGGACCTTCCCTATCAGCCCCCTGAACATGTGAAAATCTGACTTACAGGATCCATATGGTCTTGCTCTCCTCCTCCCAGTCCTCCACTGATGCTTGAGATCCGATTACCTCTGAGCAAGTTCCTCTTTATTACTTATATCTATCACAACCTCATTTGGCCCTGTCTCCTGCAGCTGCCTCTGCTCTTTGAAACAGAAACTCTGAGGAACAGTCTGTGTTCTACTGGGCTTTTTGGTCTATTTTCTTGCAATAGCTATCTGCTTAGATAAAGTCTTCCACTGCTGCTACCTCATCTCCTTGATACAATCCCAGAAGCTGCTCAGAAGATTGACATCGACCTCCTCCTCCTCATTAAGTGATCGTTAGTAGAGCTCTACAGTTCCTATTTTATCTCCAACAGCTCTGTCCCTCCCTGCTTTCTCCATGTGCATTCCTGACACACCAGATAATGCTCTTCCTTTTCCTCCTGCCTGTCCTTCCTACACAAGTTACACACTGCTAATATTAAAGTGCCATGATAAATTCTGCAGAGCCATTGTGATGCCAATTAAACTGCAGCCTTCGTTGCGTCCCAAGACTTCTCGTTCTTCCTGTTTATTTTCCACACTCTTAGCATTAATGTAAAGACATCTCAGATGTTTGGCAGCTTGCCCTCATGTTATCCCTTTCAGCCTTCTGTGGTCTCCTGCGATTTCCCACTTCCACTCTAGAAATGAGTTGTTAACCAGACTTCTGATTTTTTTATTCACCTGAGGTCTTTCCTGCACACCTTGATGAAAGCCAGTGTCCTTGGGTACTTCTCACTTGTTCTTCCCTAGCAATAAATTTTGGACATTCTGACAATAGTGATATTTTTGTTCATTAAGCTCTGCAGGATGGAAATTCTAAGTGTCTTCCTAAAGAATGGGGCAGAAAGTTGTTAGTGGAAAAGTGATTTTAGGAAATAAAATCTCCAGCCTGATTTCAGCCTTCTCAGCTCCAGAGAGGTCTAACAGAGAACATAATTAAAAGAAACACCATTTTTGGGGCAGACTGCAGTGGCCAAAATGCTTATCTTAGGGTCTTATCTTAGGGTCTAGGCGCAGTATCTGGATGAAAGCAGCCCCAGTGGAAACCCTGGGAGAACCCTTCCCAATTCCCAGCTGTACAGTGCACTAAATCATAGTGTATATTCACTGGGATTGGCACTTTTCAGGGCTGCAGCCATCAAGAAATTAGCGGTGATGAGCATAGAGGGAGTAAGATGCTGACTCATCCCTCACAATCACCAACAGCTGGGACATCCACAGTTTACAACCATCCTGATACTGCAAAGCAACAAGAACAAATATTTGGAAATCTGATGGCCTAGTATAGCTGGATGCAGACAGAACCTTACTGCAGAGGAGTTTGCAGCACGTTGCTGCTGTGAAAGAGAGCAAAGAGCACACTGCTGCCGTCTGCCTCCCAGGGACTGGCAGGCACAAACCTTGGTCCTTTCCTGAGGTTTCAGGTGTGCTTCTGAAGCATCGTGAATAGAAGTTAAAGGAAGATGTTTCATCCAATGTCATCAGCTCTGTCTTTCTGCTAACATTTGGAAAACCAAATGACGCTAACGTTACATATTTCAGCAAACAGACGGGGTTATCATCTGCATGGAAGTAGTAAAGAGAGAGCTGGACTTGCTGTTCATGGAGGGTGCAGCATTTTCCCAAAATAACATTTGTAAACCTACAGCCCCACCCCCGTAATTCAATGTAAGCTTGGAGTCTAAAAAGGAGGAGCAGCCTTAGAAAGGGCTGAAGCCCAAAGCCCATTCTTTATTCATTCTAACATCCATTATTTAACCGTTTGTTGCATATCTGTATCTCAGAGAAGTATTGGTCATTCACACGTGACAGAGCAGTGCAGGCAGAGGTGGATGAGCTGCCCAATGCCTGCTCGTGTCCGTTCCCATCACCCAGCAGACCCTGCTCCCTCTTCTGGACAGCAATGTAATGAAAGGAATCATTTCCCCTCCACATGTGTGATTTTGAGCACAGGGAATCGAGAAATGGAAACGGGAATTCATATTGCTTTGGCAGGACACTGAGATCTGAGCTACACATCCACTGAATTGCCATATTTGGAGTTCTCTGTAACAAAGGACTTCGGTATTTGTGGTCAAAGCTGAAAAAATAGTGAGTGGTTTTATTTTGTTCAGCTCTTGGGGGAGGGCGGGAGAGGGGCAGAGAGGAACGACCCTCTTCAGCCTTGCTGTACCCTTTTGCTTCTCAGTTTTGTACAAAAGAATACTGCAGAACTAAAAAAGGGCATGGAAAGAGATCCCATCCTTAGCAAGAGCTCAAATGGGCTCCGATAGCATTATATTGGTTACAGCATCCAAAAGATATGCCCAGCAAGGCCAGCGTCTCCTCTCCTTCTCTAAGTCCAAATGGTTTTGCTCCAAAGGAGATGTTGTGACTCTTTGGTGATTTTGGGGTATTCTCCTGAAGGTTAGCAAGCACAGGCATTTGGGAAAAGGACTTCCCCACCATTTCTGGCAATGAAAAATGTTGACCAAAAAAAAAAAAAAAAAAAGCAATTAATGATGTTGGAGAAAGGTACAAAGTACTCTACAGTGCGCATCCAGCACAGCAAAATCTTCACTGCTGCTTCCTAAGGGCTTCCTCGTCCTGCTGGGCCTTGGTCAACTCACCAAAGCCAAACCTGGGGCTGAGCAGGGTGCAGAGCCTGGTGACAGCACAGCCTGCCACGTGCGGGCTGCAATAGCAGCAGTATTAGGCATTATACTGAAAGGAAATTGCGTTCAAAGCCACAGGGTATTGTTGTAGCCAAAGGATCCGGTCGGTGAAATGAAGGGATGCTCCGTTCAGCCCTCACACGCTGCTATGGGTGAATTTTGTACAATCTCCAAGTTTTACATTGCGTCCCTTTCCAGAGAGCACATTGAAGACTGTCTGGATGTGGATCTTCTGAGTCATTTTTCATTGCTTTCCTCTGCAATGAGAGCAGGAACGTGGCACATCACTATGGCTGCTCAAGAGTGTAGCAGGTAGAACCTGGAACCTCACTTCAATGCCGCAATGCTTCTTACAGCCGCTCCTTCCAAATCTACCATCAGTCGTAAACTTGAAACACCAACACACGCCAAACAGAAATACTCCTCTGGAAGTTGTAAAACGACCAGGAATGGGGCAGGGCTCTTCCGCAGGACTCTGAGCTGCTGCAACGCAATCAGCATAACCCAATTCCACAGCCTTTGTTCAACACCCGTACGGTGAGAGCACTTTGCCAAGGGTGTGAGAGCAGATTGCGACCCGGTAACAATCCCAACATCAGATGAACCGTTTCCTGGCACTTGAGATGAAGTTTTTCTGTGTGTTTTTGCTGTACTTTTTATGGAGTTTCTTTTTGCAACAGAGACTCAGCCCCCAGGCTGCCTGCACCCTTCCTCTGCCCAACGTGACGGGGGGGTTCCCTGCCCGAAACCACCGCCCAGAGAACAGCTCCTCATTAGCTGAGACACAACCGGGAAAGGTTTAATAAATACATTACCCATCGCAACAAAAATAAATATCATTTATAAAACATCCGTTATCTTTCACTCGTCAGCATAATACAGTGCATGTACACGTGCCCAGTACAGATGAGATTTACAATCGGCCGCCCGCATCGCCCCACCCCACGCATTCCCCCACTGACAGCACCACGAATCACCACGTTGAATGGAATCAAAGCGCGGCTCCTTTGCGTTTCTCAGCCATTTGTCACAAAGCAAAGGTGAAAGCGAGAGTACAAAAAGTCCTCGCATGGGGAGAACGGCTTCAGTGCTCCGGATCTGGGGGGGAGGGAGGGGTCGGTCTGACAGCGGCTCTTCAGCTCAGCTCTGCAGCGTTCAGCCCACGTTGGGAGCTCAGAGCTGCTGAACCGAAGAACGGAACATATAAAAGCAAGCTGATTTTTTGCCACAAAAAAAAAGTTTAATAATACAGTAATAGTTGGAGTACCGTCCGGTAAAGGTGTATGGTAAAAAAAAAAAAAAAAAAAAAAAGTTCTGAGTATGAATTCACCTCGGGTAATTTGAGCGTCGTAAATACTTGCATTATAGTGAGGTAGACAGTAAAAAAATTTCCTTTCTCCGTTATTAGCACAGAATTTAAATCTTGCAATAATATTTTAAGGAGGCGATAATGTTAGGTAAGGAGGAAATATCTGATTAATGCTTAATTCTGTACAACTCAAATATAAACTTTTCCAAATATTAGACATTATAACATTTCGAGTGCATATAATGTTTTGTACAATAACAACAAGAAATGCACGCTGTTCATCTCCACTTTGCACTTTCCAGTCCGATTAAATAAACAAATATTTACAACTTTTATATGAACAACGGTGCATCCCGAGCAAAATGTGCATTTTAAATTATTGCTCCTGGTCGAGTCTTTTTAAGTTGCATTTTTATCACTTTATATTATTATTATTCTCTTCTCTCTTTTTTTGTTAGTTTTTTTGTTTGTTTGTTTGATTGATTGATTCCCCTTCCTTCCACCCCCCTTCCCCCCACCGGTTCGCAGCTCTGCGGCCCCACAGCCGCCCACAGCGATGCCCGAAGGCACCGAGCCCGCGGTGGCAGCGCAGGGATCGGCGCGTTCCTTTGCCGGAGCCGCCACATCCGACGGCTTTTCGTCTCTTTCCCCGCTCACCCCGTCGCGCTGTCCGTCACGCCTCGCTCTTATCACAGCTTTTCGTCGCTGCCTTAAAATGTCACCCATCCGGTAATCACAATCTCGGCCATTCTCTCTCTCTGTCTCTCTCTCTCTCTTTTTTTTTTTTTTCCTTTTGATGGAGTGGGACGGGCTGTTCCAGGCCCGTCACCCCGCAGGAATGCGAAAGAGAGCGGGCAGGAACGGAGCAGCCCTTCGCTCTGCCCCTCTCCCTCCCCGCCCGTTTCTGGCCCTATCTCCCCCCGTCGGAAGGGCGGCCGGAACGCTGAGAGCCCCGGGGCGGGGTTGCGGCTCGACGGACGCCCGCCGGCCCTTCCCCGCCCGCCGCTCTCCGCCCCGGGCCGCTCCCGGTCTCCCTCTGCCGCCGGAGCGGCTCCGCCAACGCGCAGCCCCCGCCGAGGGGCGGCCGCCCGCTACCTGCAGCCGCACGACTCCACCACCATGTCCTCGTACTGCTTGTACACCACGTTGTTGCCCGCGTCGATGTAGAGGATGCTGATGGGGGTCAGCTTGGTGGGCACGCAGCAGCTGGGCGGCGTGGAGCCGGGGTCCATGGAGTTCATGAGGGTCTGGATGATGGCGTGGTTGGTGGGCTCCAGGTGGGAGCGCAGCGGGAAGTCGCACACGCCCTCGCAGTGGTAGGCTTCGTACTCCAGCGGGGCGATGATCCAGTCGTCCCAGCCCAGCTCCTTGAAGTTGACGTGCAGCGGCTTCCTGCTGCAGCGCAGCCTCGCCTTCTTGCCGTGCCTCTTGCCGTGCCGGCTGGCGAAGGCGGTGCGGCGCTGGCGCCGGGCGGGCGGGCGGCGGGCGGCGGGCGGGGGCGCGCCCAGCTCGGCCCGCAGCTCCCCGAGCAGGCTGCGCCGCC